AGCACGAAGGCACCGATTGATTAATTATTTCGGGCGCATCACCTGCTTAACTTATTAGTCTCGTAAGTGCAGTCCATATTTTATAGCTAGAGTTGGTGATATTTCCCCACTAGATGGTGAGATTCAGCGTTGGCAAAAGGGGTTTCCCTCAACCAGCCATCTCCCACCAGCGGGGCACCGCCCCTGCCGGAAGAAGCTCTAAGCTCCCGACCGGTCTCCTGGTTTGTGTTAGTGTAGTACTTTGAAAGTTTAAGTGTGTGTAAGTAAGAGTGAGGTTGGGATCAGAAAGACAAAAGAAATATCGCTCACGGTCCGTGGTCCGTTTGTTAGGGAACTGCTCCAGCATTTGCCTGGCGTTGATCGGAGAACCCACAGAAAACTACATATCAGAGCAGCCGGTTGCCAGAATTATCCTGTAGACAGCGACAGAATTCGACCTAGCTGTCTAGCTAGTGACGGAAATCTTGCCCCCGTCGAGAAGGGATCTCTAGGTCAGAGGCAGTGCAGTGACATCGGACGATGCCCTGAGCCACCTCTCCCAGTAACGGCCGGGGGTTGCGCAAGCGGTCGTCCTTGGGTGGGCGAGTGCGCACCTCCGATGGGAAGAGGGGCAGGCCAAGGGAACGCGGCCACCGCAACCAAGGGCTGGCGTGCCACTGAAACCGGAGCGCCGTCTGGCCTGCGGTCAGCTTCTGACCCGCGCCTTCTCGCCCCAAGCGCCCGCCCCATCCCAGTCCGCCCCGCCCTCCCACCCTGCCCGACCCGCCTCTCCTCTCCACGCCTTCTCCTCGCCACGCCTCTCCTCGCCACGCCTCTCCTCGCCACGCCTCTCCTCGCCACGCCTCTCCTCCCCGCATGTCACTACTCCCAACCGCTTCCACTCGTCCCAAATCAGCGACAAGCCCGACCTTGCCACCCGTCCCATCCCCTCCCCACTCACCGCGTTCCACAACGCGCCTCACCACCCCGCACCGCCCCGCCACTCCGCGCTGTCCATCGCAACATCACACGCAACGTCACGCACCACATCGCACAGATCCGCTCTGCGCTACTCCGCCAGTCCTCTCTCAAATTCCATGCCGCTTCTTGGGCTCCGTTCTCATTCCCTACGGCTAGAGAACTCCCATGGAACCGCGCCTGATTTCTGTACATCATTTGTATATCGTCATCTTCTTCCGAACGCAACACACTATAATTCTTCTTCTTTCTTTGTTCTTCCATTATTTTCAAAACTTTCTTTTTCTTCTCTAAAGCCACTTGCATACAAAGAAAATTCTTATGTCACAGACATAGCCAGATACAACGCACAAGTACATAAGGAGACAATTCATTTGAAAGGCTTATTTATTTAATTAATCTCACGTAATACCCGTTCTTGCATTTTTAATTTCTCTTATATGTGGAATAGAGACAGCTTTGCAATGCTGTAGCAAAAAGTGCTGAGTTTTCTACAGTCGTTTGGTGGGTTCTTGATACTAGAAAAAGTGAATTTATCTTGCTTCTTTATGCAAGCATGCAGTTCAGCATGCAATGTCTTGCATACGTAGTGTAGTCATAATTAACATTTTATGGGACTTGATACCGAAAATGTTGTTTTCGGCCAACCATCTTCTTTGCTCTGATTGCGGAACCAAAGGCGACTAAACTGCTCAAAGGGATTTCTCGGAAATTGTCTAATACATCTGGCAACACACGAGATGCCGCGAATTTCAAACGGATATTTTAATTTTGGAGGGTACTTCGCGTGCAACCCTTACAACATTTTCAACATTATCTCAAAAATGGCTCCATTGTTTTAATGTTTGCTACAATAGAGCAAAGTTATCTCATGGAAATGTCACAAACCCAATTCTCAATAAAATATCTGAATTTTCGAAAATTGCAAAATTTTACAAACATTAGCAGATTTCGACTATGAGTCAAGCTGCGAAATTTTCCAAAAATGAACAAATGCAATTTTCTCAAACACGGCAATATTTTTTTGATAAATTTCTTGTACAGTAGAGCTCAAGACGCTATAGAACATGACATTTTGATTAAGAATTTTCTTTTTAAAAATTACACATTTATAACATGTGTTATTTTGAGGTAATTTTAGATTTTCCTACAACATTTTAGACTCCTATTTCTATTGCAGAATGTGAAGCAATTAGTAAAACAATATACCCTATAATTCATATAGGTTATGGGAAGTTTGTCAATTTCTTCTGATATATCGGCCAAGATGGTTTTGATCACTATTTTATGTTTCAAGGTGGCAACTAACGTAGTTTTTCTTAAAAGTATTGTCAATTTGATAAAATAAATCGTAATATATAAGTTATTGAATTAAATTTAAGATATTTTTACAAAGATTTATTACCGATGTACGTTTATTATATTAGTATAATGTAAATATGTTAACAATTTTGTTATTTTTAAGTTTTTTGTAATTAAGTTTCTGTGTTTTTGAGTAACTGTATTTATATTGTTTTGACATCATTGTAACATGTGTATCATCATTGACATATGTATCAATGAATTCCACCGTACAGAAGTCGACGGGGCAGACCATCAAACCCATGGAAACAAGGAATACTGATTGCGATGACAACTAGAAATCTTTCAGAGGAAGATGTATGTTAATGTGTATTAAATACTTAATAGCCGGGAAGGCTAAATTAGTCATCTATCTATTTATTTATCTATCATATTTACAGTGCAGGTATAGTCGAAAATTCGCGACCCGCGGGACTCAATTTCTGAAACCTATGATCTCCCCCTTAACAATAGCGCAGAGGCAACCGTGTAGCCGATGAGCAATCGCGGCTGGATTTGACGTTCGCCCCCAGCATTCACTTCGTCTGGAAACGTTTCTTGTCATACTTCTCCGATCGTCACCTCGTTTTCAACTGGCTCAGGGCGCGACGCCGGGGATCGAATGGCAGCGTGAACCCCGCCAGTCTCCAGCGACCGAGCCACTAACATTCCGAGCCGCCACACTCCACACCACCGACAGAGCACCCCTCCCCCACCCCCACCACAACGTCCGGGGTAACCAGATGCGAGCGTGCAAAACAGGCCTGCTACAAATAGGCAGCCAACACGTCTGAAAGAGAAAACCGTATTCGACACTAAATAGATAAGCAGCTTTTGCTACAAGTCACACGCGTAACTAAATAACAAGGTTATAGATGCGCTACAAAATAATAATAATAATAATAATAATAATGAGAAGAAGAAGAAGTAGATATATACTAACTTAAAGGAAAGCAGTAATTATGTCAACAACAAGGATAGTCCGGAAATTCATGGGAAATGATGTACTATAAATTCTTTTAAAAATAGATGTATTGTGCTATTATTATTATTATTATTATTATTATTATTATTATTATTATTATTATTATTATTATTATTACAAGCTGAACTTGTGAGATTACGTAGCGCAAAAAACTAGAACTGTAGAAAACTTAAGACAGAAAAAACATTTGCATTATACGGCAAAACCAAATTCCTCAAAACATTACTTCATGTCGTACAGTATTAATAACTAAGGAAATGTGGGTGATTGACAAATTCTGGAACGATACAATTCTACTTCACAGATTTAAGCAGGTTTTGTAATAGAACTGGTTTAAAATTACCAAGATGTGACCGTGTATGTTGTGAATAAGAGCAAAAATCCTGCTACCACCATTTAAAAAGGTAATGTATCATAAAATACAATTGTAATTACTGAATTTTTAAATGGATTCGTATTTGAAATTATTAACGGACGTTGCTTTTATAAATTAACGTATATTTGAATTTAAAAACACTCAATCTTTGAACTTAAAAAAGTCACGAATCACTAAAGGCCTTGCGCACTGCGTATTGTAAAGAATTTTTGTACATAGCGTTTCAATCATTAAACTTTTAATTGCACAAAAGAGTTGCTTCGATCATTCTTCCAATGCAGCGTCAAACCCCTGGAAGCCCATTCACGAGAAGGTACCCGTCCTTTATATCATTTTATTTGTCGTGAGAGTACCGTTTCCCAGGTACGTCACAATTTTTTTATATATATATAATAAAGAGAGAGAGAAAATTATAAAAATAACATAGGAATTATAATATTAATGCAAATGTTTTTAATGTATCATATACATATTAAATTCGAACTATGGAGTGAGAGTTATTATTAAAACAATATTTAGGGAAAATCACTATGCTTTCGAGTGTTTTTCGCTCAAATGAAGCGTTGTGTGAAATTGATTTGTTTGCGGAACAGTGAGAACCTTTTATTAATAATAATAATAATAATAATAATAATAATAATAATAATAATAATAATAATAATAATAATAATAATAATAATGTCTTTATCAATGGCGAGGCTCAAGCCATAGGGCCTGCTCTTCCTCCTAACCACTGAATTTACATACATTTAGAGTAGAAACATTGTAAGAGGGGAGGACAAGCTGTACATTTACGTCTGGGAGAACAAGTCTAGGGACCATCCCGGCATACGCCTTAAGCGGTTGAGTAAACCCAGAAAAACCTCAATCAGAATGGCGGCTTAAGGCCGAACATTAATAGTACCGAGTAAGTTGTACATAATAGTGAAAACCTTTCGGGACTAAACTAACAAACTTTGCGGCGGCGATGGTGTGACGGTTAGCGTACCGGACTGTTATACCCCAAATGCTCGCGGGTTCAAACCCGATTTTTAGGGCGACAAAATACTTCGTACGCCTTCCTTCGGAGGGGAAGTAAAGCCGTCCGTCCCATGTTAGTAGATTTACTTGCATGTAAAAGATCCTCAAGCCTAAATGAGCTAAATTCAAAATCGCCTGTTTCTCGCCCAAGAAATACCTCCTTTCTCTGCTAGATGAAAGGAGGGTAGCGAAATTTGCGTGGTCAGACGGAAGAGCGGGCCTGATGGCCCGAGTCTCGCCACGTAAAATAAGGCAAATTCAATTCAATTCAAACTACTTCAAAGGGCTGCAGGTGAGGGCTGCGCGCGCTGCGCGGCTGACCTTGGTGCGTGATGATGAAGAGGTGCTCGTCGGCCGTGTCGGAGAGCATGCGCTGCGCGTTGAGCACCTTGTCCAACTGCAGGTAGTCGGCGTACATCATGCCCACGTTCCCGTCCAGCACCTCCCCGTCCTGGGCGCCCGGCACCTCCCTGCGACACGACAACATTGCACGCCGAGCCGCTGCGGCCTTGCGTCGTGCACAGACACGCACGTTCAAGTGCCCAATATCATGTTTATGGCTAACGTTTAATTCCCTATTTTTATGTAACCTATCTTTTCTAGAAAATAACAGTAAGAAAATGACAGTTTGAAATTTTGCTCTCTTATATTATATATTGTAACGAAGAACGTTTCTGTAATTAGAACAATTACAATGATCACCAAATATAAATATTTATATATAAATTAAAATAAAGTACTGGAGTTGATCAGCGCAGTAACGCCGCCGCCACCGCCGCCGCCGCCACCACCACCACCAATGGTCAAATCGGGGGGAAAACGGCGAGACGAACGACGGTTAGTGGTGCGCGAAGAGGCCTCGAGTGAAGCACGGATGGGGCAGTGCTGCGTCCAAGGGATTTATTGTCGTTGTTAAGTGCAGTTCGGACTGAGTGTGACCGCTGAATGTGGAACCAGGTTTGATAAAGATTAACAATCAGATGATTAGTGGAAGTAGAATTGCGCACCAGAACTGATGAAAACCAATAAGACAGGAAATCGTGTGGCCGGTGGGCTAGTGTTGCAATCCCGCCATGGTATAATATAACAGTGGGCAGTGCTTGCGGACATTCGCGCGAAATTGAGAAAGGTTGCTGAAAAGACTAGAACAGCCGACGAACATCAATCACGCGTCGTGCGTTCTAATACCCGTGAGACATTGTTCACACCGGCTGGGGTGGACCCCGGCGAATTCATCGGCCGTTACGTTGGGTCAGAGGAGTTGGTCGCCGAGGGAGGGCGAATTCCCGGCGGACTTCGGGGCGAACCGAAGATTGCCGAAGACACCGCCGCCGTTGCCACGACGGCCCCGGTCGCCTCCAGAGGAAGCAGGTGGTTTTTAAAATATCAAGGTAGCGTTGACCGTGCGCTTGTTTCCAAGGCCTGCGCATTGCGATTAGTAAATACTATTTGTAAAGTGTGTTCTCTGATCATTAAAATATTTAGTTGTGCAAAAGAATTTATAACGATTATCTTCCTATGCTGCGCCAAATTCCTAGAGATCCATTCACGAAAATGTACCTGTCCCTTGCTTAATTTATTTGTCGTGAAAGTACCGCTTCCCAGGTACGTCACAATATATATATATATATATATATATATATATATATATATATATATATATATATATATATGTAGTTCTGATACTTTTGCTGTTGACTAATTTTTACTTTCTCATCTACTACTTACGTACAAAAGACAATTCCATACGAAAGCAATTCCAATGCAGCAGCAATTGAATATGGAATTGCTTCAGGGAAGATAACGATTTTTCGAACGTTAAATTCTTATTGCCATTGCATACGAAACAGTGCATAAATCGTGTTGCTAAATATATTAAATTTCTTTCTATAACACGTTGTGTGGTGAGAATCCACGTTTGGTGGGACCTTGAAACCGAAGAAATCGATTAACCGCAAAAAGGCTTTTCAATGAACAACTGTAGCGCCTAAACAGCGAGTACGATTTTCACCAAAATTGATATTCCTCGAGATACCCCTTGAATTTGAAACCAAAATTTTGATTTGGGGAGTGACTTAATATTAAGCCTCGGCATTTGCAAATATTTTTCAAAAAAATGGTTCCAACACGCTTAAAGAAAGGGCGTAGGTTGCATTTTCGTTGAACACCAAAAATGTTTGTAAATAGCAAAAGTTCAGAATTTGTTTGGCATCTTCCTACAACTACGATAATGAAGAACAGATTGTTTTCCTTCACGAAATGATTTCATAAAAAAAACTCGAAATAAGATCATGCACAATGTTTCGGAAATATGAGTATTTTTGCTCCGAACTAATTTTAAACAATTATTTTTTCAAGAAATCCTCAAAATCCATTCTTTCATGTTTTTCCTCGCTTATAGTGAAGAACGGCAAAGAAAGTCTTTTTCGTTTCATTTTCGGCGAACTCACTGTAACTTCAAAATGTCCTAATATAAACAATGCAGAAGTACAATACTCATAGACTTTTTTCTTTAAATTAAATCTGTTCTAAACAAATAAAAAAGGGCACGCATAACACTTAAAAAATATGAGTAGTTTAGCATAATTTTGCACTTTCCAAATTGCAGATTCGAATATCCCGCACTTCTTTTGTTAGAATATTTCAGGAGTTATCTGATTGCATTGCAACAATTGGAATGCAGTGATACGTAAGTTTCAAATTCTCATTGTATGGTGGTGTTTCTGGGCGAATGGAACTGTGATTTCGACTGTCGAATTTGTGTTGATGTAATTAGCTCAACTTTTCACGCCTAATGCGCTACGATTGGGGATGAGTTTTACAAGTGCTGGCTGAAATGTGTTAATATGTACTGAAATTGCAATTTTATGTAAGAGACAGTGAGGCGAGAAAGTAAGTACTTCTGTAGGACCACTAATTTTTTTTATTGTTTGACACTCATTTTTCCAGATATTTTGCATTATCATTTTTTAAATATTTGTTGTTGTTTAAAAATATTTCTATCAAACTATCGGTTCATTGCGAGAAATATCAATAATGTATTCTGTAAATTTTATTTAATTGCAAATAATAGTTTCTGAGAAAAGATATATTAATTCCAAAGTAATTACATTGTTAAAAATGTCTATAGAAAGACTCTGTACTTATCCCTGCTGCTCTTCAACATTCCTGAAAAACATTCCAAGGTGCTAGTGGCACTAGATAACAAACGAAATGTGAAAAATATTTGAGATACCAATGTCTGATTTAGATTTAGATTTATTTAGTCAAAAAACAGTAAATTTGTATGTGACGTATGGGGTCTAAACAATGTTTTAACAAAACACTATACCCCAATATGGCTAATTACGCATAAGATGCCATGCTTATCTCCAGTGTCAAAAATGAAGGGCGTCGTTGAAATAGACGGGTACACGATGATGAAAGGACATTTCACAGAAGGAGAAGCAAGGTTAGAACTATCTATTTAGACAAAAAACTAGATTCGATCACTTGACCTTTGATCATTTGACCTTGATATTTTACGGCCCTGTTTAAAGGAGGAATTTTCAAGAAGTAAAACTAAGAAAAAGGAGAATATAGTATAACTATGCATTTCTTAAAAACGAAATATGAAGGAATTAAATGAATAACGTTGACTCAGAAAGTCGTAGTGAGTACAGCAGGAGTGTTGAAGTGCCTCGCATCAGATATTGTGAATTCGCGATCCAATTTGGATAAGGGTGTCTGTGTGTCTACGTATATATCACCATCTAATTTTCAGATATCATATTAATATTGGAAAATAGACGCATCCATTTCCCTTTTCAATTTCAATGCTCCAGAGCGTGATAAAAACACTGGGACACACAACAGCCGTTTACATACTCAACTAGCATTATCGATTAAGCATTCTTTCTTTCTGATTATTCTTTACGTAAAGAGGCGAAGGTAAAATTATTAACTAGTGGTGATAAAACAGCACGTATTTTCTCGCATTATTTCTTTTGTAATTTTTGGAGATTCAGATAGTTCAACGAAAATCAGTCTTGCGCCATTCTTTTAAATGTCCTTTCTTCTCTCCTTGGGAAAATCAAGAAAACATGGAACTTTTTTTTAATTTTTGCTTTAACGTGCATTAAGTTCAAGCATAAATTAGGCGAAAACTACTTTTTTTCAAGAATTGTACATAGCCTTTTTTAAAGGCATAGTTTTTTAGAACAGTTTTTGTTTCAGACAAAATTTCTATCTTTAATATTGCATTTTTTCGATGCAAATTTTTTGCAATTTCCGAAAATACAGACAGTTTCTCAGAAGTAGGAGTATTACCACCAGGTTTTAATAGCCTTTATACATACAAGCAGAAAGTTTAAAGAAAAAAATTGGAGTAAATCTAGAAAAACATGTTTAAAAATTGCCTATATTTTACACAAAATTACAGGAAAACTACACACATTTTCGAACATATTTCAAGATATGATGAAAATATTTTATTAATGAAAACATATGTATCTGCAATATTGTAGTAGTACAAAGAGGCTGAAGAAAAATTTGAACTTTTTTAATTTTCAAAATATCAGGAATTTTAACACATATGAGATCTGCGCTATTCCTTTATGCATCTTTACGCCATTCAATCACAGAGCTTAATCAAAAAACTTGGTGCCAATTTTGAGAAAGTTTTGAAAATATTTTTGAGAGTTCGCGTAAAGTATCCCCCAAAATCAAAATATCCGTTTCAAACTCATAGAGCCTCGGATTCTTATATATAGATTGAGGAATACCAATTTTGGAGAAAATCGACTTAACGGTTTTGGCACCAACGTTGACCGCAAACAGTCAGGTGAACAGGCAGGCAGATGGACAGATTGACGTTTTGCCGTGAATCGTTTCTTCAGAATCAAGGACCCGCAAAACATGGATTCTGAGTACGCAGCATGTACGAGGAAATCTTATGTATAGGAAGAAGATTGATGCCCTTTTCTGGTACAAACTCCTGACAAAAGGTTTTCTGTCGAAAAGTCACCATCTTTCGGCGCACGATTAGAATTTCTCTACTTACGAAGTAAGGCTGACAAAGTAAAAACGCAAAGCAGATATTATTATTTAACATACTGAACGTTTCATGACGCGAAAGACTGAGCAAGAATTTTGCACAGGCGAATAGAAAATATCAAAAGAACTCGCAATTTCTTGAAAGAAAAGCTAGAAAATTGAACTGACTTTACCTTCGGAATCCATGAAAATTGGGTAATTTCCTTCAGTTTCATTTTAAATTGATAACGGTTGATATACTTGACTGGTTCTGTCAAGAATATTTTGCACTTTTCGAATGTTTTTCATAGTGCCAAATGTGTGTTTTGAAAATTAAGGGAACAAGGGAGCTAAAGGGAAAAGTAATCAAATATTGCGATCTTGAGGTCAACCAGACATTAAACGTTTAAATTCTAAATTTGTCATTATTGTAGGGTTAGAAACTTCCCTTTCATGTACTCTGCCTTATTAACTTAAAACATTAAGTACTGTGGTGCTGAAATAACATATTTTCTTTAAACTTATAATGCAATCTTAAAATTGGCCT